ATACATAGCAGAAGGTAGTTATTGTGCACAAATTCTTTGGCTCAAGCAACAACTCCGTGATTACGGACTTGATCTCGGATGCATTCCTCTTCGATGCGACAATACAAGTGCTATCAATATTACAAAGAATCCGGTCATGCATTCAAGAACCAAACATATAGATATTCGACATCATTTTCTCCGTGATCATGTTCTTAAAGGAGATGTCGAAGTCACTTTTGTGGATACTCATAACCAACTCGCAGATATCTTCACAAAACCGCTTGCTCGAGAACCATTCTTCAAAATCCGAAGAGAAATTGGTATTTTGGATGAAGGTGATATCTAAATGTTTCTCATAAGGTGCACGTCTTAATTTTTCTTCAACAAATTTTTTTATGTTTTTAGTACACTCTGCTTCTACTCCTTCTTTTATATGTTTTTATTTGATAAAATATGTGTGTATATATTCGTGTTAATTTTTAAATGAATTTATTTCACTCTTTTTCCCCATCCTTTTTGATGTTAACAAAGGGGGAGAAGAATATGCATATGTGTTGTTTTGTTTCAAAGAAATTGCAGGCCAAAATAACTATCAAACTCACTCCAAAATTCAAAGAATCATGGACTTAGGGGGAGCATACAATTTAGGGGGAGCCTTGCATTTGCTCAACATTTTTGCTACACAAAACAACATAAACATTTCAAGAATTGTTTTCAAGACTTGGTTGTCATCATCAAAAAGGGGGAGAATGTAATTGCAAGCTTCTCAAGTCATATTTTAAAGCATTAGTTTTGATGAAGACAACATGGATATCAACATTCAAAGGATGTGCAAAAAGCTTATCAACATCATATAAAAGTCTTGAAGATTAGAAGAAGAATTATTGAAGAATCAACAAATGTCAAAATGGTATAAATAATTCTTAATCTTGAATATAGATGTTCACAAAAATGCATTCATCAACATATACATATCCAACATGTTTACATTTATGAAAAACCTTGTTTGAAATCTTTTTCAAAAAGAATTTTTGAAAATTAACTTTCAGGAACCGGTTCCTCCCTAACAGGGAACCGGGTTCCAAAATTTGTTCAAAAACATGTCCCTGGATTTTGTACTAGGAACCGAGTTGTACCAATAGGGGAACCGGTTCCTGCGTGATATTTTGAAATCTGACTTATAACGTTCACTAAGAACCGGGTTCTTCCTGTGTCGGAACCGGTTCCCAGTGAACCAGTGCAGCTTTTCTTTTGGTTTTTGAACATATTTCAATTGGTATCCTTTCATGAATGCATTGCAACTTTTCATATGAATTGGCATGAATGAAGAGGTTCTTGTGACTTTATAAAATGCTGCAGATTTTCTTATTTTAAAAAAAAACAATGCTTCAATTTTCAAATTAACAAATATACTTCTTCAATAAACAATTTTTCATCATTCACATTTGAATTCATACTTTCATGTGTTCATAAATTTTGTGAAACTTGCCATATACATTTTCATTAATTCATTACAAGTTTCATACATACTTTGTGAACATTTATATACATTGTTTGAGAATTGTTTATATCTTGAAGAAGAAGATCAATTGAAGATTGATAAAGCTCTCCATCTATTTCAAATTAATCATTGTATTACATTAAAGAAATTATTCCCTTACTATCCAGGATTGTTGGAAGTAAGTGTTGTGATTTGAAGAGGATTGTTCTTCATTCACATTAGTGTTTGTTTGGTCTTAAAGGTGTTAAGAACCTTTGATCACCCTATAGGTTAGATAGTAAGCATAGGCTGTACAATCATTCTAACTATAGTGAAATCTCTTTCGTGTTGGAAAGGGGACTGGAGTACTCTCGGATTGTGAGGGGAACCAGGATATATCACCGTGTTCTTTACTTTTCCGCTTTTATCGCTTTCATCACCATAATCAAGGAAAAGATAAGATCTAATCAAAACCTTCAAACACTTAACCAAAAAATTACTTCAAGTATTCTCATAAAACCGAATAAATTTTTATAGACCTAAAAAACACTCTGAGACTTACACACTAGGGATAGGTTGACCAATTGCTGGTCCATCCCGGAGTCAATCCTAGATCTTGTCTGTTTTCTTTTCTTTGGGTGTTTGTTTATTTATTTATTGGTACTACTTCTTTATCTATTTATATACATTGCATTTTATCTACATTATTCATATATACTGGATATGCTAGACTGTCTGTGTTTTTTTTGGTGGGCGGTTTGTTACATGAGGTAAAAGGCCCAATACACAGGCCAAAGTTATATACCACTAGGTACACATATGAATAAAGTGGAGAGTAATGACGGCTGACAGGCGTATGCTCTGTCATGTTCGATCATGAGAGCCACGACCATATGAGGTTCAACTGGGTGTTATCATCATCACGTATGATGTACGATGATAGTACATTCAGGTGGGGAAGGGATGATTATTACAGGTACTGATGGTGACTATTTGGTTCTTTTGGTGACTCAAGTGGTTTTCTTGGTATTGTGAAATTACTTCGGACCTTTGATGCTTTGGTATCTGGTTATTCAGAAATAGTTCAGCCGTTATCTATTGTGATAGGGAGGGTTGATCCCATACACTTATTGATGCTACTTGGTTCTTGTGCGTTGTGAGGCTATGGCGGACTTTCGACCCTACGAATTTCAGATGGTTCAGAGGATTGTATATTGGTTACTCAGATTCTGTGGAGCCTTGATCCCATTGCATAACATAACACCATATCATCTTGTATATACATCCCATTTCTAGGGAATTCCAAAGATGAGTCTCCTCGGATCAAGATTTTCAAAAGATAAATAATTATAAAAGGATACTTATGGATAGAGAAGTCTTTGGGTTTCTCTGGAAATGAGAGATGAAACTATGCATGCACTTCATACATATCATGCAACTTTTTTTTATCAGGTACCAAAACTTATTGGGGCCCCTTTTTCCTTCAGACTTCTGAATCAACAACAACGACTTCCCTACATTCATACCACGCATAAAGTAATCAGCAAAGATTCATGGATCTCTTTGAACAGAATCAGAATGCTCTTCGTCAAGACATGGATACTATGGGTGATAGAATGAATCAACTCCTTGAGACTCTACATGTTGTGATTCAGGGTCAAGAAGAGCTTCATCAGAACGCCACTAAGATTGCAGAAGGTGTTCCTTCAACTTCTAATGGGTTCCCCAATCCTCCTAACGGAATTCCCAAGGATTCCATAGTTGTGATTACTCTTGAAAATAAGAGTATGGTTGATGACCAACACAATCTTATTGATCTTGATGATTCTCATAATGATCTCACTACTAACCTTGCTGAAACTGCTAAAATGTATCATGCTCTCGATGAGCGTCTCAATGCTATGGAAGTTTCTAAGAAGTCTAGATTCTATGTCACTGATATGAGTCTAGTGCCAGGAATTGTGATCCCTCCAAAGTTCAAGGTCCCCGAATTTGATAAATACAAAGGCACCATTGCCCAAAGACTCACCTTCGTTCCTACTGCAGAAAAATGGCCACTTATGTTGAGAATGAACCATTGGTCGTGCACTTCTTTCAAGAGACTCTAACAGGGGAAACATTAGAGTGGTATATGCAGTTAGAGAGAACTCATGTCAGTACTTTAGGAGAGTTGGTTGACGCTTTCTTGAAACATTATCATTACAACACTAACATGGCTCCTAGTCGTACCCAGCTTCAGATTATGGAACATAAACCTCTAGAATCTTTCAAAGAATACGCCCAAAGGTGGCGTGGACTAGCTGCGAGAATCCAACCTCCACTCTGTCATACCCCAAATTTTCCCTATCAATTCAATTTCCATATTATTACTATGATACCAATTTACATTCATTTTTTATTTTATATATTATTCTAGGGGGAGTTTATACCTTAAAAAGGGGGTGGGTTTTCATAAAAAAATATTTATGGGCTTTCTAAATCAGAAAGGCCCATGTAAATGTGATGGTTCATTCATTTTTTTCTTACAATTAAAGAGGAAGTATATTTAGTTTTAAGCCCATTCTGGATCGCATCCCCTTGTTTTTTGATTTCACTTCAATGTTAGAAAACTCACCCCCCTGCGTTATTAGTCCCAGTTTAATATCTGAACTTGGGCCCTTGCTAAACCAAATCCCCCTAATTTTGTTGCGCAATACAGATCAACACCCCCTTGCGATCTGGCTTGAATTCAATATCTGAATTCAGGGCCCCACTTTTTACACCCCCTTATTTACATAGCCCAAACAAAATACACCTCTTGCATTTTTTTTTATTTTTTATTTTATTTATATTTTTTATTTTATTTATTTTATATTTTAATTAATATTCTTAATATTTTTTATTTTTTATTCTAATTTTATTATTATAAAATATTTATTTTTTCTACTAACTCATTATTTAGTTACATTTAAAAATTGCATTAAAATTATTTTTGCCATGCATTAAGAAGATTTTTTATATATTAATATATTTAAAAAATACTTAACCATACCAAATTTTTTTTTACTAACTTAACTAAATCCAAGAAAATTTTCAAAAAGGATTATGGAGATACTTTTAATCGACTGCGAACTTCAACTAATAAATCCGCCATTCACACACTGAGGCTTGGTTCAAGGGAAATTCAAAATATTTTTGTAATCCATAAAAAACACTAACCAAACAATTGCGAACTACGAATTGGGACTCTGATTCCTCATAATAGGAGACATAGGCATACGATTAAAATCGTGGCGAGTTCCCCTAATAAAATTAAAACCCTATTCCCTAAAAATATATAATTCTAAACCCTAGTATCCTTGTGAACAAGGTAGGGTTATCCTTTATATTCCCTTCCTTAGGATAAAAATTAAGGATGGAGACTCTTATTTTAAAACCGGTTATTACAACTGAAATTGAATCTGAAGTGGTGAACTGAAGCAGCTGAAGCGTGAAATTGCAATCGAATGGAGTGGAAGTAGCGCAGTGTTGAAGCATGATTGACGGAGAAGATTGGAAGTTATGAGCGAAGAAAATTGGACAGAGTTGCTGCGAACAAAGCCATGCCATTACGGTCAAAGATGAGAACAGAAGATTGGGACGGAATCGTTGAGGCAATGAGAGAGTTGAGACTGTACTTCGTCAGAGACGAAGCTGACAAAATCGCTGAAGCGACAAAAGGATGAGCGGAGAAAGATGAGATGAACCCGACTAAGACGGAGGTATACCAGCGAGACCGCGGTGGCTGAAGGAGGGAGTGGAGCACCATCGTTCCTAGAAAAGAAAGGAGGAATAAGACCGTGTTTCACATTGAGGATGGAGAGTCCCTTTTGAACCTTAAGTAGTTGACGTCACCATTTTATCTCTTCACCATTTTATTTTTAATTTGTTATTTCATTTTTTATAAATTGATGATAATATTGAAATTAAACTTTTTTAGAATAACATTGCTGAAATAAAAATATTGAAAGTAAATTGAAGTGGACTTAGAGTAATTTGGTGGTGTAGATTACTGGTTGGGTCGGGCTGCATTCTCCCTTTGGCCCATTCTTTGTTTTTTGAGCATCATTGGCCTTGTGAAGAAAAAACTTTATGTGGACTCATTGTGATAGCCCTCAGCGCAACATTACTTATCTAGACACCTTAATTCAATTTCATACCTCCCTGACTATCCTATGTTTCTTTTTCTATATCTTTTTATGATAAAAAAATTACAAAATCAATAAAAATTTGTTAGATTTTTTATTTGATTTTAGGAATTAAATCGCGATTATCCAATTACTTAAGATTTTGTAATTCACCAGAGGGCTATTACAACCCTATTACATGATTTGATGCATAAAGAAATCGAGGTAAATGTTGATGATATAATTTCCGAATCGCATATTGAGGAAGGGCACATGGAAGACTTGTTGAAGTTATTTCAGCGTTTGAGTAAGTATCACCTCTGTTTGAATATGAACAAATGTACCTTTGGTGTTAGTTTAGGAAAGTTGCTATACTTCATTGTCAGCCAAAAAGGAATTGAAGTTGACCCTGATAAAGTCAGAGCAATTCAAGAAATGCCTGCACCAAGAACTGAAAAGCAAGTTAGAGGTTTCCTCGGGCATTTGAATTGTATTTCTAGGTTCATCTCCCATTGACCGTGATATGTGAACCCATCTTCAACCTTCTAAAGAAAGATCAAGGGTGTGTATGGACCGATGATTTCCAAAGGGCATTTGAATGCATTTAAGAGTATCTGCTTAAGCCTCATATCTTTCTCCCTCCTGTTGAAGGGAGACTGTTTATTATGTATCTGGCAATGTTGGATAATTCTATGGTTTGTATTGTGGGACACCAAGATGAAACATAAAGGAAAGAATATGCCATTTATTATCTGAGCAAAAAGTTTACTGACTGTGAGTCACGGTACACCCAACTTGAAAAGACATGTTGTATGTTGGCCTGGGCAACAAAGCTTCTAAGTCAATATATGTTGAATCACACTACTTAGTTGATATCCAAAAATGGATCCAATTAAGTATATCTTTGAAAAGCCTGCTCTTACCGAAAGAATTTCTCGTTAGAAAATGTTGTTGTATGAATATGATATTGAATACCATACTCAGAAGGCTATTAAAGGCAGCATGTTAGCAGAATACTTTTCTCACCACCCGGTAGATGATTATCAGTCTGTCAAATATGATTTCCATGATAAGGATGTGATGTATCTAAAAGTCAAAGATTGTGATGAACCTTTGCACGAGAAAGGTCCTGATCCCGAGTCCCGATGGGGTATGGTGTTTGAAAGAGATGTGAATGCTTATGGAAAAGGAATTGGTGTTATGATTATCACTCCTCATGTGTCTCATATCCGTTTCACTACAAGGTTGACATTTGATTGTACTAATAACATGGCGGATTATGAAGCATGTATCATGGGTCTTGAAGCGGCTATGGATCTCAGAATCAAAATCCTTGATGTCTATGGTGATTCAGCTTTGGTAATAAATAATATTAAAGGAGAATGGGATACTCAATTCACTAGCTTGATTCCCTATAAATATTACGCAAAAAGATTATTACCTTTCTTTAATAAAGTTAAATTCCATCATATTCCACGAGACGAGAATCGGATGGCAGATGCTTTAGCCACTTTGGCTTCCATGTATCAAAATAATGCCTAGAGTGATATACCTCAGATCACGATTCGGCATCTTGATAGACCAGTGCATGTGTTTACTATAGAGGTGGCATCAGATGATAAACCCTTCTATTATGATATCAAGTATTTCCTTCAGACTCAAGAATACTCATCGGATGCGTTCAACAAAGATAGAGAGACTTTAAGAAGGTTGGCAAGTAGCTTCTTCCTCAATGAGGATATGTTATAAAAGAGAAATTACGACATGGTATTGCTCATATGCGTGGATAGACACGAAGCAGACATGTTGATGCTTGAGATCCATGAAGGTTCCTTTGGTACCCATGCCAATGGACATTCAATGGCAAAGAAGATGCTTAGGGCAGGTTACTATTGCTAACAATGGAATCTGACTTTTATAAATTTGAGAAGAAGTTCCATAAGTGTCAGATTTATGCTGAAAAGATCCATGTGCCTCTGACACTTCTCAATGTTATTTCTTCCCCATGGCCTTTCTCTACGTGGGGTATTGATATGATCTGGATGATTGAACCCAAGGCTTCGAATGGACATCATTTCATCTTAGTGGTAATTTACTATTTCACCAAATAGGTGGAATCAACTTCTTATGCTAATATCACTAAGTAGGTGGTAGTGCCCTTTATCAAGAATAATCTAATTTGTCGGTACGGTGTGCGAAGCAGGATTATCACTGAAAACAAATCAAACCTGAATAATAAAATGATGAAAAAACTTTGTGAAGAATTCAAGATTGTCCATCATAACTCGTCTCCTTACAGGCCTAAGATGAATGGGGTTGTTGAAGCTGCTAATAAGAATATTAAGAAGATTATCCAGAAGATGGTTGTTACCTATAAGGATTGGCATGAGATTATCCCTTTTGCTTTGCATGGGTATTGTACATCTGTCCGCACTTCAACTAGGGCAACCCCATAATCACTTGTTTATGGCATGGAACCAGTGCTCCCTGTAGAGGTTAAGATTCCTTCTTTACGTGTAATAGTGGAAACCAAGTTGTCAGAGGCTGATTGGGTCCAGAACAGGTTTGACCAGTTAAGTTTAATTGAAGAAAAGAGGATGATGGGTTTGTGTCATGGTCAGCTATATCAGAAGAGAATGAAGAAATCTTTTGATAAGAAGGTCAAACCTCGTGAATTTATAGAAGGCGACCTCGTGCTATGATAACACCGAATCGCACTATGTTTCTGACTCGAATATCACATGTTTTCCTTAGTTTTATTATTGTTTTTCTAGTATTATGCCCTTGTTTCCTTTGTTTTCAGGTCACATGTCCTTTCAGATCCTTTAGAGAAGAAACGAGCGAAAACGCCAGAAAAATAGGGTTTTTCCAAGAAAATACACACATGGCATCCAGCTCCGTGCCGGATACAGGGAACGCGCTGACATGGCGCACTTTCACCCAGGGGCCAACTGCCACGTTCCCACGATCTCTCCATTTTCACTCACCGTGCCCGCGGGGAGGGTGGTCGCGCCCGCGGCCTTCACGAACCATTTCCCGCTCAGAAGGAGTTGAGGGGAATGCTCGTCTTTACAGAGTTTCAGGATCTTCTATAAATAGCAAGTTCATTTCATTTTCATTTTCGTTTTCATCCAAACTTAGATGCAAACTTAGATCCAGTCAAGTTACTGCTTAGGCATATATTACTACTTTGTAAAGTGATAATCTTCTCACATCGGGAAGTTATCACACTTGAGTGTGCGAGTTTGTATTCAAGTTTGGAGCACTTTGGTTGAAGTTTATCATACTATCTTTTATATTTCCATGACTTGTATACGATTCAAGACTCTGATTGGAGAAAGGTTCTAATTTAATTGCTTTCATTTATTTTATGTTCTTACCATAGTCTACATGTTTTATAGACTCTAAATGCTCTTACCATAGTCTACACGTTTTATAGACTCTAAATGCTCTTACCATAGTCTACATGTTTTATAGACTCTAAATGCTCTTACCATAGTCTACACATTTTATAGACTGTAAATGCTCTTACCATAGTCTACACGTTTTATAGACTCTAAACGCTCTTACCATAGTCTACACGTTTTATAGACTTTAAACACTCTTATCATAGTCTACATGTTTTATAGACTTTAAATGCTTACCATGTCTAGCTAAATTTATTAGGGTTAGAATGCAAGGATCGAATCATAACTATGTTCTGCATGCCATGCTAATAGAAATACCTTTGGGATGTTTTAGTTTTTAATATTGGTTTAAATGTGTTTAAAAGTTTATGGGTAAGATCGAAAGCCGTCCATACTTGAGATTAAGCCAGATTAGTTCTTGACCAAACGAAAAGAGCGAAAGCAGTTCATTTGGTTAAGTAGGATTACTTGATATAATTTTAGAAAACAATTTTGAAACTATTTGCGGACGCGTTTGTGGGATTAAAATCTGATTCTTGGTCAAAAGCCAAGGATCTCTTTAACTTAAGTTTTCCAAATTAAAACACTTTTTCACTAAGTCAAAATAACTTGTTTCTTAAAAATAGGTTTACTTCTTTAACACGTTAGGCACCCTTTATAAGTGACAATAAAGGAATTTAATTTAAAAGAGTAAACTCGGTTCTTAGTATGCGAAAGCTACAAGTTCCTGTTAAATAGTTCTTTGCTATAAATGGAAAATATTGCCCAAAAGTAAATACTATACATGCATGCTAGGACACTGTCTGATCTCGTGATTTACATTCGATCCCGTTTGTTTTATCTCTTTAATTTTATTCGCTTTTATTTCCCTGTACTGAACTCAATCCCTTACTGATCTGCCTTAGATAAACACCTTAACAATAGAGTCGATAGATTGACAATTGGTCTTTGTGGTTCGATAATCTTATATATTACTTCGATAGGTTATGCACTTGCAGTTATAATTTAGACTATATAGTAAAAGCCCATCAAGTTTTTGGCATCGTTGCCGGGGACCAACTTTGCCAAATTTCGTACCCTTTTTGTTATCCCGTTTAGACTAAGGCTACTTATTTAGCCGGTAGATGCGTAGAAATCGTAGCACCGGTAACCTAATAGATCCTTTAGTAGAACCTGAACGTTTCGCTCGAGCCCGTCTCTTTATACGAAAGTTGAAGAAAGCTATGGCCGAGGAC